ATATCATCAACTCTCGTGAACTTTCCGCAAAAAACACAGAAAAAAAACAATTCAGAAACAAAAATTCCTTCACAGAAGGCGATGTACCGTTTCGTCATACTCGAAAATTTTCATCGCGTGTAGTTAATGTTACAAAACCTTGAACATATAAAAAAAAGGATATTCTCTGAAAAGTTGGACGCATCGCTTTGCTCATTAAAAAAACAATAGAAAAATGAATACAGTACAGTACTATAAAACTCGTTCAGCTAACTATCATTTCTGATCAAGTACCGTGCCTGTATGTTTGGCATAATTCCATGGGCCTGAGAAAAGTTTTCGCACACCGTACTTCTAGATTCATAAGTTGGAAAATTTGACCTGGTTTACAAATTCTTTGCATCATGAGAAAATGAGGGAAGTCAGAAGGAATCTACAATACGTAGAACTATCTATAATATATCCTCTAAAAACATAAAATAAAATTGTGTGGGCTTGGGTTGAACTTTTTTTCGGAAAATTTTTCAAGAAGAAATGGACGTGGGTCGAATTGAACGCGCATCATTTTTTAAAATCTTTTACTAAAAGCAATTGTAGCGTAAGAAAAACGTTCCTTGAAACGTGTACGTGTCCTTCTCTTCTCGGAGTAAAGAGAAAAAGTCTTTGTTTCACGGCTGAATGAAGCATTGTATTGCATAATTGTTGAAGTAAAATTCCGTTACAACGAATCTCGTTAGAACCAATTTTTTCTCGCCTCAGAAGTTTCTTAAAAAGGACAATGTTGCATAAATTTCGTCATAACAAACTATAATCTTCATTTTATTATCTCTGTCCGAAGCATTTTTGTTTTCATTATGCGTGCACGTGTCTCGGACATTTATACCAATAATAGACCCAATATGGGAAAACCAAACTTGCGCATAACTGAAAATCTTCAAAAATTCATTTAGGCAAACCTCGATAACTCGAACCTCCCTAAGTCGAATTTTTTTTTCAGGTCCTGTCCCCCTGAATCCCTTTAGAATTGATATGTTTAAAACCTCCCTAAGTCAAAGGCTTTTCCCCTCAAACCTCCATAAGTCAAATTTTCTGTGGCCTCTTGGGGTAATAAAAGAAATGTGTTCGTTCTTTTTTTCGTTATTTTTGTACTTAAATAAACAAAATTTTCCTCCACTCTCTGAATTAACCCGTTTACTTGAGACGGAGGTTCAAGTACTACGAAAGTTGAGTTTTAAGAAGTAATTTCAGCCTTCAAATATTACAATTTACAATTTTGACCAATTTTCCATGTTTCCCAGGACAAAAGGGCTTTTTATTGTAGCTAATTCAAAACCTCCCTAAGTCGAATTTTTTTGCTGGTCTCTTGAAGTTCGACTTAGAGAGGTTCGACTACTTTTTTAAAGAAAATTTAGCATTACACGAAGTATGAAGCTAATGCATACTCAAAATGTATCTACCTTTATTTTAGAATTCTTAAATGACCTATTTAAGAAGTATGTTTGAAAGGATAACGCTCTATTTCAGTGTATACAGTACAGTCATTCATGAAAAAGGATCTTCTCATTCAAATCATGCATTGCCTGCTTGTTTCAGCTAATGATTCAGCAAGATCAGTATATTTTGAGGGGGAAAACAGGTTTGGAATACTGTATTGGCACTGTATTTTACATTTAACATTTTCTCCATTACAGTATCACAGCTTTTGTGGAAGTACTTCGAAACATCTACTACCGGTTTCGCACAGAATTTCAGTCTTGTACTTACTCAAATAACCATGAATTTCATTATGCTCTATACAACATAATGCAAGAGACCCAAAAAAGTTTGTTGTAGAGATAATTCCGTTGCCGAGAACGCCTATAACATGGGGCAGAACCCTGTGGGACCCCAAAAAAAATTTTTACAGACCCTTGTAGAGAGAGAGAGAGTCCACCTGTAAGAATTTTTTCTCAGCTCCCCAAGAGTTCGTTGTAACGATATTTTACTTCTCCTGTTTTTCTTTCAACACTGTCAAATGACTAACCTCTTCAAGTTTTCGGCGATCGTACATGACAGGATCGGCGGAAATCGTGTGTCGATTTCGACTTTCCTTATTACTGCTGCCTTCGCGAGAATCATTATTTGACTCCTTGGAGTGAAGTCGGCTCGACCGATTATTGGAGCTGCTGCTGCTGCTATTTCCCGACTTTTCGCGTCTGTCCACATGATGTCGCTTCCAGTGCTCTTCCCGAGACAATCTGCGCAAATCGCGGTGCGCAGGCTGTTGCTGCTGTTGTTGCGTGTGCTGATGCTTATTATTACTCCCATTATTGCTGTGCGGCCCCCGTTTCCAGAAATCCCGGCTTCGGTGAGCATTATTATTGTCTCGTCCTCCCGTCGTTGCACCGGATGAGCTGCGACTTCCGGTGCGACGCTTGTTGTCCAGTTCCGTCAGACAAACCGGCTCCTCGGCGACGAAACTCTCGCTTCCGAGAAAGGTCTCCTGAGGCCAGTGAAATAATTATTTAAGTATCTATTAGTATTCATTATTTAGATCAAGTCTTCTTATCCGCATACGTATATGCTAGACTTATCTATTGTTTAAAAAATGTATCATGCACACAGCAGTACATGAGACCCCGACATGCGGAAAATTCAACTTAGGGACACCGGACACTTAAAAAAAAAAAAAAAGGTGACGCGACATCCGCAGACGTGATAGGGAAACTTTGCTGACATTTCCCAGAAAAATCGAAGGATTTTATTTTCAAATTTTTGTATCCATAAAAAAATTGAGCTATTTCCACTCATAAACATTTAAAATAGCTTTCATTATAAATAGAATCTAATCCATACTCAAAAATAGGATTATTACCAGCTTCTTAAAAAAATCTTTTTCATCTGTGAACATTATAAAAAGACTTATCGCTTGTTTTTTTTTTCTAAGCTCCTTTTGATCCCTAAAGATCAGAGTCTAGGAAAGGTTCAAGAGGATTCTATTTAATAACTTAATCAAGAATACTACAAATCAATATTTGTACAGACGCTTGCAAGGTTGACACAGGATTGAGGTTCTTACATTGGAAGAGCTCATACACTGTTACTCGAACTTCGCCTGAAGTTGAATTCTTCCATACTTCGAATTTTTCCCTCAAGTCCCAGTCTGAATTCCCTTAGGAATACAACAATGCATTAATAACCTTCCAAACTCGATTTTTTTTTCTGGTCTCCTGAAGATCAACTGGAAGAGGTTCGACTGTGTCAAATAGATACAGTAGAACCACTTCGATGACGTGGTATGTGTTAGCGCATCACGAATACCAAGTTCCAAGAATGACTTCAACTCGAAATGGACATGCAGGATCGCTTTACTATTCACACACAAAACTGTGTACAGTACAATATAAAGTATTACCATTTCAAATTCAATATCATAGGTATGATACTGTACTCGGTTTGTTCGCGTCCTCAACCTAATCAATACGGTTTCTTTTTCGCCGAATTATCTCACTTACAAATACTGTAGTATCCTGGTCACACGGTATTTCAATCTTGATGCCTTTCATGAAAGTACACATCTATATCCTGGAAAAATAACGTACAGTATTAAGAAATAACTTTCACTAACGGTAATATAGTACTGTATTGCGCAAACCGCCGAAAAGAATTGAATCAAGCCGAAGTGATGACCCATCGAGATGTGATACTGTACGGGCATCAATACACGAACATGTTCATGTCTTGCGGAGTGTAAAAGTTACGATGTTATCCTAAACCACGTGTACGTCAGATTGAGGATTAGGCATGGCTGAAATCCGATCTCCGTTCGAAGACAAATGCGGCCAAAATCGTCTTCTGATTCGAAGCTACGCGTTAATATGTTTCAGTAAAACGAACTTTTGAAAAGTAGGAAAAACTTCCGATAAACTAACTTCTTCTAATGAAGTGCCGACAGAAAATCCTTGGAGCACATTTTAAAGCTATCTCATAATATCGAACTTCCCAAATCCAGTGTAAATAAACTTTTTTGAGAAATGTTCAGTGGATTCTCCAGGTGGAAATTCCGACATCAAATATGACTGACTAGTTCTTCATCGTAGCATGAATTGATGGAAGCTGTTATCAACGAAAAATGGTACCAAGTGGTTCCACACATCATCCTCCCAATGAAGATATGATCACATCATCCTCCCAGAATGAAGTGATAGGTGCAACTGATGGAATGCATAACTGAATCTAATTTCTTGTCAAGATCTTTTTAAAAATGCCGAAGAGGCGAGATCCATACATTCAACCATCAGCCGATCTAATTTAAATTTTGTTCAGATCATTAGTTTTAAAAATAATCATTTTACTGAAGTCCCCATAAGTTTGCTGTAACGCGATTTTACTGTACCGGCAACCAACTGAGTCTGTTCTTTGACCCTCCACGTTTCGGAAGAACCGCGTCATCCGTTTTATTCTTCTGCTCGGCAACCCCCTCTCGGTTCTCCGAGTCTGCGTTCTCTTCGCTTCCGCTGATTTCACCATCCTCCACCTCACAGTCTTCAGCTTCTCTGCTCACGTCACGAACACACAAAGAGGATTAGCGCTCGGTAGAGGGAATGGAATTCTAGCACTATTTACCTGACAGCATCGCCCTTCTCCGCTGCTGTCATGGCGTCCAAGATCATGAACTTCCAGACAACAGACGAATGATCGTCTCAAATTCGCTCGAGGACTTCGAGCCACAAAGTTGATCAAAGATCGTTTAAACAGACGGCATTTGACAAAAAAAAAAAGAACTACTGGTAATAGTACAATGACACCGTTCGAAAAAAAAGGAGCGCACGAACCGATTTATCCCTCCGCTGATCCACTTTTCAACATAAAAAGCTTCGCTGATGATATCTTTGTAGGAAGGACTTGCCTGAAGAAACACTCGAAGACCTTCTCCATGTTTTCCGTGCGTTCGAGAACATTTCGAAGGTTGAGCCACTCTGCAAAGCATCACTCAGGGAGAACTCCGTTACACATGACAAGAAATGAAACGAGTACCAAGATTCTGCTCGACATGTGTTCTGTTATTTTCTTACCAGGAAGAATCGACCTCGTCAATAACCATTACGACACTCGCGAGCGACACGAAAGAAGAAATGATACACCGCGAAAAATTCGACGATGGCTTACAGAAGCTCGACGAAACAACCAACGCCAAAAAAAATTACACGCTCCGTCATACAAGAAAATGAAAAAGCCACCAAGAGAAACGTGCGACGAAACCGTCTTGCACTTGCAGTCGAGTAGAAAAGAAAAGCGTTCATCAAAAAATCGATCCGATTACAACGGCGACGTTTCCTCTTGATCAGCAATCGACCCAAGAAGTGACAGCAAATAATCACGGGAGGACATGAGCTACTAGAAAAAGTTATTTAACGCAGCATTGCACACAGAAGTAAAAAAAAAAGAACAACGTGGATGCTCAGACGCGAACCCCCTTGAGATCAAGAACTCTAAGCGCAAATGACCGATGTAATATGAAATAAAAAGATAATTGCTACCGACTCAGAAGACAAACTGCCCGCAAAGGAAACGAGTTGATTGAACTTACCTATAGAACAGCACGATGAACAGAACCATATTCGCAACAAACATTTAAGGATTCGTACACACGCCGTTCATGAATTATAATTTACCATTCTTCAGGCTAGGTCAATTTTCCCAGTTGAATCAAGAACATGATGTACTAAGAAGTGCATGGGATCACGATTTAAAGTTCTTCATAACTTTTCTTAAATTCTAAGCTTATCTGACAGAAATTGTGACGAACACCTCCGAAGAGGAAACGCGAAGTGTACGTGACGCTGTCTCAATTAAAAAAAAGAAGAACATTTGACGCAATCTTTCTACTCAACGCAAGCATTCGGCAATAATGGATACTTACGACCGTGCATATCCAAAGACGTCGCATCCCAATACGTGTGTTCGATCAACTTCATCAGAAGTTTAAATAAAACACGGAACACCGTTCAACTTCTTACCGACAATGAATGCAGCATTAGGAGTCGGCAACATACGAGTAAGAAAGAAAATGCGGCACTATTGAGGTAAAACTGAGTTTCGGTTTGCAATTATCCGTCGGAATTAATCGGTGCTAAAACGGTAGTTGATATTCACATCTCCGAATCAATACGCGATGTAGAATCCCTCAGACATAGTGACCTACAGTTGAACAATAGGAAGTCGAATTCGAATTGACCACAACTTTTTTAGGGGTAAAAGACTGTTGAAAGAATCTGACGTAAGCATAATAAGTACTGCATACCTATTATTGTGGCGTTTCTGATTAGTCGAGTGCATTTATTTACCTTTCACTAGACGAAACGTTAATTGAAAAAAAATATATATCCGTATTGGCCAAGGGCGAAACCAGGTCATGTCAGGTCATGAGCGGCGTGTGGAACACAATCCAAAAAACGATACACTCATGTCAAGCAAGAATTCACTCGTACACAGACGGACAAACATTTCGAAGTTACAGAGAATGTGACGAAAAGAATATAAGCCATGCAGAAATTTGTGTTGAGGCACGAGGTAGACACGAAAAACCTCTACACCATGAAAAATACAGCGTGTTTCTGTCAGCGAGTTCCACGGACTATGTACTGGATATCATCCACACGTGTCACATCGCAAGAAACCTCCCACAAAAAACAAACAGCAATTACTAAATTAATCCTCGACATCCCGTCACGTGATTTCGCCAGTTAAAACTTACGAAAGCAAAACCGTGACAAATGAACAGCGATGAATCTTATACACGCAAGAACATAAACCCGAGACATATCCGTAAAAAAAACCATCGGGGGAGGGGATGACGACCGGTGAAACGACAAAATAATTCAGCATGATTTCCGACCCATACCGTCAACAAATCGCGAAACGAATCAAGACATCTCACAATCGTAAAAACCCGAGACACATGAAAGGAGCAATTTTTTTTCTCATCTCGCTTATTCATAACAGAACATTTTCAACTATCCCCGGCCCTTCGGGGCGGACGGGGGAATAAAGGGGGGGAAATGATGAAGCGAATCGCAGAACATATCAGCAACACACCGTTGAGACACTCATTACCCAATATCTTCAATTTCAATCTGTAAGACAATGGAGACAAGAACAAGGAGAAAACACGATCACATGTGAAACGCAACTCGCTCAGCATCACGTCGTTTCACCGACAATTCCTCGCACATGCAAGCATAAAAGTCATCTTTGCGTATTTCTTAGTCTTCGCACGAGAAATTTTCGGATCACGTTGATCGAGAATGAACCTAGAAAAACGGGGGAAGGGGGACAGGTGTTACCGTCAGTCGGCGCTGGTGTCGCTGGAGGCTGGTGTCATGGCGGCCCACTCATTTCTTGCCCGCAACCTGGTCCCTTTCTCTAACATTCCGTTCACAAGCCGAACATACAATATGACCATTTGGGGATTCCAGTAACCATCGCCACATCAGAAAGATCATCATTCAATACAAAATGTATATGCCCTCCTACAACTTGCATTCAACAGGCCCATATCGTTTTATTTTCCCAGTGGGCGTTCGAAAATTCCTACTAGCACGGAAGAATTTATCTCACGCTTTGTTTTCCGGAAGGAAGGAATCCTTCATTCACTTCACACCTTGCTCCCAAAATATAGACTCACTAGCCCATGAAGAACAGGAACGAAATCTCAACAACAAATACAATTCTTCGGCTAAAACAATTGCGACGTCAAAAAGCAGCCATCAAGACAATTAAAATCAAGTATCAAAAGTAGCAAAAAAGCAGCATTGACAAATACGAGAGGCATACAACATTAAGCGAATAAACGTCACTCGGAAGATCGCATTTAAAATCATGAATAAACGACATTCAATATTAAACGAATAAATTCACTGAAATGGATCATTAACCGTGAATCACACAAAAGCGCTGCACTGTCAACACATGTAACCCTCAATGAAATAGACAATCATATAAACCGGAACAAGGGCAATTCCTAGCACAGCCTGAGCCTACCTCGACCTTCAGATCATATAGCAAGTTGCACACGGCATACAGAAATTGCATGACATTCAAGGAAATGGCGTGGTGCAATGAACATTTAAAAAAAACGCATCTCTCTATCCATAATTTCTTTCTTCAATAGCAACTCCTTGAAAACATTTTTCTGCAGTTTTCCACACCCATTTTTTTCATGACCACAAAATATTGATCATCCTCCAACGATCCCACCTCAGCTCGCCACTCAGCACAACAACAACGCGAGAAGGAAACGAAAAGAGACAGAAGGGCGGGGCTGCAAGAGTAGCACGGTTTCTCGCCAAAGTGGCTTACTCACCAGCTTCAACGCCACGTCCGTAGTCGTCCTAATTTCGCGAGGTCCGTACCCGAGTTCTACTGGTAGCCTGGGTACGCAGTCTGGCTCGTGGGATAATAGGAACCACCCGCACCGCCGCTGGGCCCTCCATATCCGCCACTTGCGCTACCTCCAGTTCCACTCTACCCACAAATTCAACAAGTCATTCCTCAGTCAAACCACCCTAATGTCCGATTAATCTGAGATTATTGAACATTATCAACAGAAAAAATATATGAAGATCCGCACACAACACGTAGGGGATCCTCAAGTTCGAAGGAATTCGTCGCATGCATTCCCAGGTGTAATCGAGAGAAAGCTGACGTGTTGAAAGCTATTGCCAGAAAATTCAGATTTTACTTTTTAAGTCAGTTCATCCACAAGACACTCCTGAGAAATAAGCCTATGGGCATTCCTGATGGCACTTTTCCATGAAGCCTCACTTTCGAAAGAAATTATCTTTACAACGTGAACACTATGCAACTTCAGCACCTGACCTCCGACAAATGTCAGAACTTGTGGAGTGAAAAAAATCGTACGGAAAATATACTACAGTACAAGCAGCAAATCAACGTGCCGCCATTTTTGCCGAACTTGACCACCAGTATATTTGAAAAGTTCGAATACTAATCTCCGTCAAAATGAATTCCGCATAAGATAATCGAATTTTCGGACCTCCACACATTTGAGAAAATGTAGATCTCTACACTACCAGCAAAGGCCATGAGGAGCTACTGCTGGACTCTCGAGAACTCAATGCAGGTATGAAACCAACAGAGGGAATATCCGAGGCAAAAGCTTCCATCGTGTCCAAAACGGACAAGATTTCTGCGACCCCAAAAATTCCAATTTGCTTTCCCACGGACGTAACACGAATCCGATCATAACAGAGCATGATCCGCTGACTTAAGCCGTGGTATAATCACCGGAAAAGTTAACCGCGTCCATGATGGGAACGCGACAGTCAATTACCATTACGTTTTAACATCGTAAACAAATTTACAATCGCAAGTTCGAAGTACAGTACTGTACATTCGCGCACTCACCCTGCTCTTCAGACTTTTCTCGATCGTCTCGGCCTCCTTGATCATTCCGTTTGCACGATAAAAAGCTATCCACTGCGCTGTGTAATCTGCTTTGCCACCAGCGGCGTCTCCACCACCCCCGCTGGGAGCAGCGGCACCACTACTCATAGACGTGGGACCACCAACTTGCATGACGTCTGCCGACTGAGCTTGCTGGAATGAAGAAACCAGCCAATGGGAGTAACTGTTCTACATACTCGCGACGGTACCACAAAAATGAACAGAGTTTGACGACAACTACAATACAGTGCACAATTCTCAAGTAGACGCCAAGCCATTTCCATTCTCACTAGCTTAGGAGAAGCACAGCACACGGAAAATACGGTCTTCCAGTGAAGCATGACTCGGAAAATTTTTTTTTGCTACGAGGGAAATTAATCGAAGGTCGGATAATGTTCGTCGATTAATTCAGCAACGAGTGAAATGTAGGGAAACGTAATTCTGAAGAAACTTGGACTCACTCTAGCTTTCAGTGCACTCTCGATCGCAGCGGCCTTGTCAAGATCGCCAATAGTCTTATAATAATCGATCCATTGCTGACTGAAATCCGCTTGACCTCCACCTGCACTTGGAGCCGCTGAAAAATAAGGTTTTTACAGGAGTGTCCACAGCATTTGACACCCACTAAACTTACCCGCGGGCTGAGACGGAGCAGCTGGTTGAGAGGTCTGGCCGTAAACCGAAGCATAGTACTGTGCCCACTGATCAGAGACTTTAGCTGAAACAGGGTCGTTATAAAAATGTTATAAACCTTGCAGGTGCAGGGAACAAACTAAAAAAAAATTAAGGATTAATCGTCTTCAGCAACAAATGCAAGAATTCACCCATCTAAGTAAAGCATCTTTCGTAATACAGTATAGTCCAAACAGGCCCACCACAGCAAAGCTTTCGTGCTCACCAGAATCATTACTCGGCGGACCTTGGGGTTGCTGATTCGGCCACTGAGAATAATTACTCCAACCTTGCGGCGCGCCATAATTCACAGGTGAGCTTCTTCTGAAAATAGGAGATGTGGTGGAGTTTGAGTTGATCACGTTAGTTTTCAGCAACTAGAACTTTTCAATTGTGCGTCAGACAGTACGAATACCAACGGACGTCATTAGCTCATGGCTTACGTTTGGATTTATGAATTTCATCATCTGTTTCTTTCTCATAAAATAGGTATGAGACAACTTACCCTCCATGCATGCTTCCACCAAAACCGGAACCACCAGGGGGTCCTCCCATGTGACCAGGCTGACGGAAGAAAACAAAAAAGGAAACTGAACGCATAAAATACATTCCAGCGATATAAAAAAAAAATCTTACCGGTCCACCCCCGATTTTTTCACCGATCAGTTGTTTCGCGTGCTCAATTTGATCGGGAAGCCCACGAATGTAGAATAGTTTCTCGTTGGGGTTTGACGGCGGACGTTTGTCGAGCTCACAGTGTGCTCCACTCTGAGCGTTGATCTGCTTGATATTTTCACCACCTAGGAAAAGATAAGCCGAGGAAGGATTAGGGTACAACATGCATCGTCAATGAATATAATTCAGAATATGCTCGGCAGGAAATTTGGAATGTTCGAAATCATTCGCATCGGTAAAAATTGACAGTCGCAAAATTCAAGCTACCATTACCACGTCAAATTCTGCGACAACAGAATCCAGCTTCCATTCACGGTGCTGTAAGTGGGCACAGAAGGAAATTTTATTAGACTACTTCGATACTTGACCTGCCATGGCTCTGGATGGCAAATTGACCTCATACCAAACTAGACCTCAACATATCAGCCAATAGGTCAGTGATCCAGTCCTTTCCCAACATCGATTCACCCGTGTACAGTGCATAAACGCATCGTGATACGCCAGGTCATGAACAATCGAAATCTCACGCCTCAATAAGAATAACTCGGCAGGGGTCATAAGTGACATTTACATTGGAAGAAAGATCGTCACAATGACGTGCCATGAAGAGAGAGCAGCTCAATCCAAACACATCAACACTGAACATGTGCGCCTAACCTTTGCCGATGACAAGTCCGCACTTGTTCGCAGGAACAGCATACAAGATTTCAGTCATGTCACCACCACCACCACCGGGTCCATCCCTCGAAGGTCCTCCCCAACTGCTGTCTGAAGGGGGTCCACTCCAATTGCGTGGTGGACCGAATCCGCTACGACCCCCAGAACTACCTCTCCCAGGGCCACCACGACCTCGACCCATCGCATCATCCCTAGCCATGACGGAGTCGATCAAGTCGATAACCATTTGCCGAGCTTCCGCTAATTGATCTGGCTTTCCGTTCAACAGCAGAACTTGCTCTCCCGGACTCATGGTCTTTCCTTGCTGGAACTGCAGCCGAGCCCCGGTGTCGCTCTGAATTTTCTTTATCATTTCTCCGCCCTTGCCTATAATCACGCCTACTGCGGGTTGCGGTACAGAAATTTCCAACTGTCCGCCGCCGCCACCACCTCCCATTGAACTACCTCCGCCAGGAGAGCCGTAGTCGCCGAATGGACGAGGGCGGCGACCCATTCCCATGGCTCCATTCCCCTCAAATCCGGGCTGTTAACAGAATTATATTTTTCTGAACACATATTCAACTGAGGAGACGCAATAACGAACGCATAACAATAATGAAGTATAGATCTTACCGCACTCTGAAGTATTTCCATGACATCTTCTCTAGCTTGCTCACAGCGGAGAGGGTCCCCCACGATTCTCAGGGGCTTGTCGCCTTCCTGCGATGGGCTGTCCTGCACTATTAGCTACAAGAGGAATGAATAATGCGCATCGATCAAGATAACGGTGTCTCCATCGTAATGCAGCTAGTACTCACCATCTTGACCCCATGCTTGTCGGACAAATTTCGGATAGTTTCGCCTCCTTTGCCAATAACCAGTCCGACCTTGCTACTAGGGACCATGACTTCGATAGATCCGCCCGGTGGCCCCCCGCCACCGCCGCCGCCACCTCCTCCTCCGCCGCCGCCGCCGCCTCCACTACTAGTCAAGCCCATTTTACCGAAACTCATCATGGCACCCCCACCATTACTTTGAATCTTGGAATTTATAATATCTTCGATCAACCGCTTGGCCAAACTGCAAATGAAAGACCATGAAGGCCGTGTTGATAATTCATGGACAACTTCTTACTTGATAGCATCCTGACTACCGGTCAAAGTACACAAGCGGTCTGGAGTGCCACCTGCATCGGGAGCCATCTGAATCTTGGCACCCGATTCGCCCTGCAGGCGAGTGATTTGTTCACCGCCCCTGCCAATAACTAAAAAAAAAAAAGAAGGAATCACCAAACGAAATGAGTGGAATGCACCTCTAGTAAAAACGTAGAATTCCCGCACGATTACTAAAATAGTCAGTCAGACGTCGATAGATAACTTACTCAAGCCGACCATTTTATCAGGAACGCGAATTTCTTCCGACACAACGGGTCCCAGGATCATTCCAGGAATTTTCAAAGCGGCAAGCTGCGCCCCGAAGGGATCAGACATCGCCGCCCGCTTCGCAGGATCTGCGGCTGAAACATAAAAGGTATGTGCAAGATGAAAGCGGAATTTGTCTTTCAATTTCGACTTACAGTAATCACCACCTGGTCCATCTTCCATGGGTCTCTTCTGCCCGGCCTTTTCCGAGCCTCCAATCTTAGCCGTTATCTATGGATCCGAAATCTACATCACATGCAAGTTCAAAATGGTTCGTTGACATTATTTACCTGCCGTGCACGTTGCACAGCGTCAGCAAAGGCGGGATTAGACGTGGGCGCAGCTGCGGCCATACGTTACTAGAAGAGAAAATCGGGAAACACGTCCCGCGGTGCCGTTTTGCTGGACTTATAGGCTACCACGGATGACACCAACTATCACAGAAAACAAATGCAGTCGGCGGCAACCGAGTGCAATAATGAAATGATTACGCGAAGTATCAGACGCACACGAGTACAAAACCCTGTGAAAGCAGGTTTAGCGTCAAGGGTGACAGTTCAGAAAAGTTTACCGACACTTGTCATTGTGTCCGACTACGGGGTAATTTCAGCGAGAACATTCCCTCGACCCGGCGATCTTCAATGAACTCGCCCTGCGGAGAGGTACGCGGCCATCTTGAGCGGCAAATCGTGTCGCACTCGATTTCTTCTTGTTGAGGTACCTGTATCCTCTGTGATTGAGATACGGTACTGTACATTCATTGCATAACACCAAACAGATTTAAATTCATTGGCGATCACATACAGCGTTTTGAAGAGCATAATTCTGTAAAAATCGTAGCAACACTATGCCAACGCATCAGGAGCGATCTGGACTGTGTCATAATGCCTTCAAATGTTCATCCATCAAGTGATACAAGCAATGGACTATAGTACAGTACTGTATAGCTGTTATCCCTTGGGAGGGGATGCCAGGATTTATCCGCAGAATTTTATACCACAATCAATAAGGAGCAGAAGGAAGGAGAAACTAGAATGGTCAGAAGAGCGCCAACGTCAGGAAAAATCCGGACTTTTTTTAAACATTGCTGCAGAAACATGTTCAGAAAAAAAATTACTGGTGGCAGGTGTATGGGTGGCAATTCTTCTGAATTCCTGTTGTAAGATTAGCATTGAGGGATTGTAGGGGAACAACGGCTTTCTTTTTTTGGGATTTTTCCCAACTTTGGCCAATCAGCCTAAACTGAGTTTTGGTGGCCTTCATCAGCAGTCAAATCAAAATGCAAAAGGCCAGCAGGAAATAAATCCCGCCATCACCACTGCTGCACAATGCAAAAGAACCTGCCGGCAGGTTCTTTTGCATTGTTTGCATAATGTTACAGTAGTTCATTGTGTCACAGTTTGCAAAACACATACATATTTCCATCCATCTTGACAAATGCAGTATGCCGAATGCATATCTTGACGAATGCAGTATGCCTTGGGCTGCGGCCGCAGCCCAAGGAATATTACCATTTTTTTTATTCGTCAAGATGGATGGAAATATGTGTTATGCAAACTGTGACACAATGAACTACTGTAAGATTATGCTTGTAATGTACAAATGTTTCATCTTGTAGTATTTTAGGCTTATTGTTGGTTATACCGTGCACCTGAGCAGCAATGAACTCACTTAGCTGCGGCACAACAAAAAACAAGGGGCCAGAAAAAAAATTCTGGTAGGGAGAATCCTACACAGCAAGCTAGGGGAGAGAAGTCGATATAGGAGACAAGGACCACACAAAATTGATTCTACGCATCAGATATGCAGAAATGCATTACAGTCCATTCTATTGCCATCAAGCAATAGTCCTCGCAGTTTCTACAGACCAGTGTTCAGCTCAAACGCATAGATGTCGCTAATTCTCAAGTATGGCAACTACAGTATAATAAATCAAACCCGACCGAATCGTATCGAAGTTGGGAAAAGAAAGACAAATCGTCAATTTTCCAGATCCTGCGCTGCAGTTTCAGTGCTAGCCTTGACGGCGATTCTGCCACAGGGCTCGACTAGGATGGCATGGACCATTGCTTGGTGGTTATATAAATTTTGAAATTCGGAAAATAAACGGCAGTAATGTATACTTTAACACGCGAGATTGCCCTCACTGCTGCTTGAGCATGCTCTTCAGTTGCTGAATTCTTGAAAATTAATCCAGCATGAATGACGAAAACTTTCAGCAGCGCATCAGCACCGCGACGTGAAAAGTATCCCGGATCAGCTTTCCCATTGTTTCTGAAGCTTTGTTTTTTGTGGATTAATTTTCAGGAAATCGACAGCTTCGTCTTCTGATTTGAAAAATGGACGAATAACAGCAAGAAGGAAATATCTGTACTCGAGCATTGACGCACTTTTTCACTATTTCACTCAAATTTGTTTTTTTTAAAGTACGGATGATATTTTTGAAAGGAAGCATTCAAATGCGGTTCTAGAAAAATTAAAATGTGACTATTTTTTAAGATGCACTTGTGTTCCTTTACTCAATTCGCAAAATATGCCCAGATCAGTTAAGCGGTCCTTTCCCCGTCAAAAACTAAATTTAATATTTTCTGCTGCTTTTTGAAACCCCATCAGGCGTGGGACCGAAATCTCATCGTCATAATCATCCATGCAGTACAGTATTTTCACTTCTATTTGTCATCCTCCTCATGTGCTTCATATGACGGATGAAAGCGAAAGCTGAAATACGAGCTCATGTAGAACAAAATTATCCCGAGTCAGTATAAAAAGCGAGTTTCCAGCCAGTTTCAACCATCAGTTCGCATGCATCCGAGACAGCGATCAAATCAAAATACATAGTATATTCCCCGTGATTTCATGATAATAAATTAAAATAGGATTTTGTGAAACAGCTCAAATGGGGCGTTGAACGCATTGAATAAGCGAGAATTTCCTCGGCCATGGGGCCGAAGAAGGTGAGTGTGTTTGAAACAATCGCATTTGACTTCACGCAATCTGTTCGTGCGAAATCATGATGACTTGCTTGTCTCAATATTGAATTCAAGCCGCAAAAAAACCAGAAGCAACTAGTGATCGGCTGTTTTTCTTTGTCAGCTGTTTGCAGTGTTGATCATCAGCATTGTTTTGCTGTCCATCATCTGCGATGCTATCGCTGAAGCGGAAGCAGATCCAGTTCCTGGATCAAGCAGTGGCGGGTGAGAATTTGATATTTTTATTTTAAAAATGTAGTTTCAGTTTTCAATGAATCCAAAGAACTTCGAGAATCGATCATTAAAGAGTAAACCATAATTAAATTGCAGACTTTCATTCTGAAAATTCAACCTGATGAGAAAATAAGCGGTTAAAGTCATCATTGTTTTCTAATGGTTGAAAATTATTTCTTCTACAGATCGTGAATGTTTGTGTTGTATATTAGTGGAATCTAATGATTTGAATTCAATTCTGAAAGTGTGTCTGAAACGTGAATCTTTCACATTTATTTTTCAGAGTGATCAAACACAAACACAAGCATTCCCACAAACACAAACACCACCATGTTCATACACACAAGCATAAACACGGTCACAAGCACAAACACAAACACAAAAGTAAGCACAAGCATAAGCACAAGCACAAACATAAGCATAAGCACAAACACAAGCATAAGCACAAGCACAAAGGGAAACACAAGCATAAACACAAGCACAAGCACAAGCATGGACACAAACACAAAGGAAAAGGAAGCAGCTCCTCCAGCAGTGGTTGAAAGGAGAATTTGGCAAGAGGACTCCGAAAAACATTGTCAAGATCTGCTGAGTGACCTCAAGAAATGGCCAGGAATTCAAGTGTCTGATTTCCAAGAATTTGAGCTGTTTTTTGTCTGATGATTTGTTGTTTTTCCGGTGGAATCGATATAAAGGGAACTTTCTTGCACATAAATGTTGAGATCTTTTTTTTTTAAATCTGGACTGGGTATGTGATTGCTACATTTTACTGTATTTGCTATTTTATACTACAGATGGATTTATATATATGCTTCTTTTTTTATGGATCTAGGAAAAATTGAGACATACAATTTTGGGCAGGGCCATTTTGAGGCACACATTTCTTGAGACAGGGAAAATTTAAGTTTAATATACATCTTAAGACAGAAAATATGTAACATTTTGAGACAGAAGAATTGTATAAAAGAATGTCCTGTGTTTCTTCCTAATGAAGAATGTTAGCAATATGCACTGCAACCTTGTTAATCTTTACTAATAAAGTTACTTATCTCTGTTCCTAAGTTCGTACGCACGTTTTTTTAATTTCCCTTGCCCCGCCTCCAAGAGACCAGAGTTCCCTCAGACCTGAATTTCCCGCGTTTCTCTTCAAAAAAACATAAGCATAAGCACAAACACAAGCATAAGCACAAGCACAAAGGGAAACACAAGCATAAACACAAGCACAAGCACAAGCATGGGCACAAACACAAGGGAAAAGGAAGCAGCTCCTCCAGCAGTGGTTGAAAGGAGAATTTGGCAAGAGGACTCCGAAAAACATTGTCAAGAACTGCTGAGTGACCTCAAGAAATGGCCAGGAATTCAAGTGTCTGATTTCCAAGAATTTGAGCTGTTTTTTGTCTGATGATTTGTTGCTTTTCCGGTGGAATCGATATAAAGGGAACTTTCTTGAACATAAAGGTTGATGTCTGTTTTTTTTTATTTGGACTGGGTATGTAATTGCTACATGTTACTGTATTTTGCTATTTTATATTTCAGATGGATTTATATGCATGCTTCTTTTTTATGGATCTATAGGAAAAATGGAGACAGAAAATTTTATGCAGGGCCATTTTGAGACACGTATTTCTGGAGACAGGGACAATTTGAGGCATACACTTTTTGGGATATATACCATTAAAGACAGAATCTTTCTGAGACAGGGAAAATTTGAGATTAATACATTTTGAGACAGAGATAATATGAGACATTTTGAGACAGAGCAAATATAAGACATTTTGAGACAGAGAGAATATGAGACTTTTTGAGACAGAAGCATTTTATAAATGAATGTCCTGTGTTTCTTCCTAATGACAAATGTTAGCAATATGCACTGCAATCTTGTTAATCAAGATACAAATACTGTAATTAAATACAGCAGTATAAGAAAATGAAAAGGCAATGAAGGGCATTTCTATAATAGCTTCTGCTCCTACCCAATCTCATTTTGATATGGTGACCACAGCTGATGGTTCTGCAAGTCACCCATTGTTGAATATGTTAACCAATCATAAAATATTAAAATTGATGACATTTTTTCTGAAAAGGCTTTTTGGGTAATCCCCATAAAATGCACAAAAAGGTACAAAATAAAAAATGTATTCAAAAGGAAT